TGGAGTCTGCATGGGGTCCTCTGCAGTGTTCGTGGTGGGCAGGGGGGAGACTATACAGCTGATAGCGGCCGCACTTCCTCTTTCCTCTGCCCTCTTTTCCACCCACCCCAAAGGCACCTGGCTGCTGCATCTCCCCTAGCTGGGTCCTGCCTTGGGTTCATACGGTGGGTCAGGGCCTGCTGGGCAACTGCCTGTGCGACTGGGGACCTGGGCAAGAGGCAACGGTTGGTGTGAGGATGGGAACGAATGCATCCTTGCTGCCTTCAAAGTCCCTGGCAAGCCCGTAGTCCCCTTGCTAGAGAGGGGCCCTAGAGTCATTATCACGGTGTGTGGATTCATGACTGGTACTTTTTTAAAGGAGCCCCTCCCTCCCCCTGGGATAAACTCATTGCACAGGGGTTTGCACATCTATAGAGAGGCAAGGCAGTTTTCCCTCTCTCCAACCGTGGGGCACTTTATTTTAGCCCAATCCCTGCTAGGACTGGATCATCCCTGCCTAAATCATCCCATGCAAATGTTGGCCTTACCTGGAGCACCTGCCCCTGCCCCCCTCCTTCCCTCACCGTAGGGGCCTCCATCTGCCCCCTCCCAGGCCCTTCCCCCACAACAGACTTACCAGCAGACTCAGCTGCTCTCCACGCTGCCAGGCTCTGCTCCTGGCCACATTTGTGCTGGGCTGCAGCATTTATCGGCAACAATATGGGCCTCATCAGCCAAAAAAAGCCAATTGCCAATACTGTTAATTCTGCTTATGCTGGTGCCAATCTGGTATGGGACCGATGTATCGGTGCACCAAGAACACATCTGCATCCATAACACAAGCAGTTGGGTTATGACATGCATCTCTGTTCGAAACTAGTTCACCAAGGCAGGCATCTCCCCAGAAATGTCATTAGGAACAGAGTGCAGATGAGATGTTTTAGGCGTGTTGGTCTAAGGTCATCGGCAGACAAAGTTCTTTGGGTAAATCTGGTATCTTTTATTAGACCAACTAAAACGGTTGGAAAAATTCTTCTTTGCAAGCTTTCGGGTACAAACACCTTTCTGCAGGCAGAGGGAGCCTGAAGAAGGCTGTTTGTACTCAACAGCTTGCAAAGACAAATTTCTCTCAACTATTTTAGTCAGTCTAATAAAAGATATCGGATTTACCCAAAGAGCCTTGTCTGCCAATGAGGTGTTTTCTCACACATCCTCTGATGTAACTGCCTCCACATACCTGGTATCTTGAGCAACATCAGCTTCAGCCTTTCCAGGCTGCAGCCTGGACCTCTTCTCTGGTCTTGAATTCTTCCTCCAGTGCTGGAAATCAGTGCATAATCTCTGCTGCCGGCAGCAGGCACTCGCCCTTGCAGCACCACTACAACTATTCAAGTACAAATACATCAGGTCGCTCCTGTTCACTGCTCTATAGACTACGATTGATGTTGAATGTAGAGAGCACAACTACTTTCTGCTGTGGACCTGGTTACAGAGCCTTCATTGCTGGGTATTAAAGGCAGGTTGGACCAACATTAGTGTGGGATGATTTAGGCAGGGATGATGCTGTCCTAGCAGGGGTTGTGCTAGATGACCTTCCAGCTCTATGGGTCTGGGATTCTGGTATCGACTGCAAGCTCCAGCTCTCACCGAGTCATTCACAGAAAGCCCCTTCATATTAATCTACAAAGTTTCCTGCCAACTGAAGGTTTTAGCAATAGGTGGGTTTCATGACACAAGCTTCTGGCTTGACAAGAGTCTGCAAATAATCAGGATTAAAATGTAGAACGTAAAACAGTCCTGGTTATCTAGTGTTAAAGAAAGGTATTAGTAAGATTATCATTGGGATATTTGTGTCTCCAGACTCAAGATCTCGTCCTTTTCTGCACTCACTTGTGCTTCTTTTGTTGGATAAAGTCCCTGAGAGCGTAGCAGTAACACATGGAAAGGGGGAGAGGAAGAGAGAGAGAGAGAGAGAGACGCAATATCAGTAAGTGATGGGGCTCTTCCAAGCCACCAATACCAACCTTTCAGCTCAGGGCAACGTGTTCTTCAACTCCAGGTAACAAAGACTTACACATTTTGAAAGTCTTGGGTTTTTAAATGACAAGGTTAAAAAAAAATCTGGCCCACTGGTGACCCTGCAGGGGAGCAGAGTAGCGTGGCCTTAGTTTTACCCTCCAGACACAATCAACCAACATGTTTGCCTTCACCTGTTTTTACCCCTCTTTCCCACAGGAGCTTTCATGTTCCCACTAGCAACTGGAAGGGAGACAATCGGCAAAGCAGGAGGATAACAGCCTACTTGACAGCTGCCACAGTGGAAAAGGAAGGAGACAGACTGCACCCCTGGCTGCCATCCCCACGGTGGGGATTAAACCAAACTAGGGTGCTGCCCAAGCTCTCTCTGCCAAGATCACAGCAGTCTTGGCCCCCTTGGTGTGGCCCATCCATGACAGACAGGTTCCACGTGCCCACCCACCCCATAACAAACACTTGATTTCAGGGATTTTGGTTTTTATCAACTTAACATTCAACTGAGCACAGCGTCATCTCCCTGAGTCAGCGTGGAGCTGGAAGCCAAGAGCCTTAAGACGAAGCAAACCAAGGTCACAGCTATGCAGAACGCCAACAGCAAGCTGATGCCATTTCAAACGTCAAGCAATTTATACACCTAAAATGCAGACATTAATAACAAAGCCAACACACGTTCACGCTGCTTAGCTGCAAGGGCAAGTTGTCATCGTGAGGCGTTGAGTAGGACTGGACCGTATCGTTGATGCTGTAATGACAGACATTTAGTGCTGTGCTGAGAGGCTTTCTGGAGCCAACAGGAATCCCTGTTTAAAACCCTGAAGCCACCACACATGGGGAAGTTTGGGCAAATTTCTGGCCTTCCAATGGAGCACATTGTGGTTTAAATGCCCGGGGTTGGGGAGAGGGGAACAAAAATATTGCCTTGCCTCTCCTCTGTAGATGCGCAACCACGTGTGCAATGAGTTTATCCCAGGGGTAGGGTGGGGCTCCTTTGAAAAAGTACCAGTCACGAATCCACACACCGTGATGACGACTCTAGGGCCCATCTCTAGCAAGGGGACTACGGGCTTGCCAGGGACTTTGAAGGCAGCAAGGACGCGCTCGTTCCCATCCTCACACCAACCGTCGCCTCTTGCCCAGGTCCCCAGTCGCACAGGCAGGTGCCCAGCAGGCCCCAACTCACGGCATGAATCCAAGGCAGGACCCAACTAGGGGAGGTGCAGCAGCAAGGTGCATTTGGGGTGGGTGGAAAAGAAGGCAGAGGAAAGAGGGAGTGTGGCCGCTATCAGCCGTATAGTCTCCCCCCTGCCCACCACATACACTGCAGAGGACCCCATGCAGACTCCACTCATGGTGCCCACCCACGTCCAAGCAAGCTCCCCAGCCCCCTGCCCCTGTACCCAAGCCCCCCAGCTGTCTCTGCTCGCCCCCAATCCCCCGGCTGTCGCTGCCTGTACCTAAACACATATCACTAGGCATCTGAATTCAAACTGGTTACGAGAGTAGGACTGGAGAGTTCAGAGCCAGGATTGGAGCCCGTGCCCACTTCACCAGGCTCCGCTGTTTAGGTCACTTCCAGAATCTTACATTTTGGCTGATGCCCCGTGACTCAACACCACATGCCCTGCCCATCCAAACCATCCTACACACTCCATCAGCTACACTCTTTATAAAACTAGTCAACCCTAACACATCCCACCACACTCAGACTTGCCCCAGGGAAGGCAGAGAGACAACAGCCAACATCTTGCTTTTGTAAATAAGATCGCGAGCCCAGGCAGAGGGGTGTACCTACAATGGGAGGCAGCTGCACCTGTCCCCCACTGCCCCAGGCCGTACCCATCTAACCACAAGGTAAAATTCCTTCCTGACCCCGAACAGGTTTTGTTCGGATCCAGTTGTACTGATCACTTAGCAAAGTCTGAGACCAGGTTAATGAATATCAAACAATACCACAAATGAGAATGCAGTTACTCTCCAAGACTCTCAGCTTAATTAGATATAATCTAATCCTTCATTTTCTTACCTGAAGTTTTAAATGGCAGATTACCACTAAGGATGGTGAGATGCACCAAATTCAAGCTCAGGTGACAGCTAAGCACCAAGAAAGCAAGACCCAGGAAGGTTTTAATAGTAGCCCAATGCTCCAGAAAAAGGAAGTAATTAGGAGCAGACTACAGACAACCCCCGCTTAGCACTCTTAATTGGCTCCTGAAAAACCAAGCGTTAAGTGAAACTGGAAGTTTTTGCTGCGCCAAGATGGCAACCTCAAGTATTTTTAATGACCCAAGATAATGACCGTGAACATTATAACGCAACTCGCTGAGCAGGAAGTGGAATCAGGTGTCACTTTCAAACGAGCGTTCGAGTGAAATAGCGCTAAACAAAACAGCGTTAAGCAGGCGTTGCCTGTATTAACTCAGCCTGGATGTTTCCTCTTGGGAGGAACAATTTTGACTGTGGCTTAAGATTAAGTTTTCCTTTACTGCTGCTAGTTAGGATGTTAGCGTTTTGACACCCTGGAGGAGCAGCTCATGAGGAGCTGCCATCAGATGGCAGGCCAGGCATTAGAAATGAATGTGCACAACACAATACAACAGGACTGCTCGGAGGTTCAGTGGAATTGGTATCAACAGCAGGGGATACACAAAGACTGCTGCTTTTCCCTGTCAACCCCTGCCTGAACTCCCACCTGCAGGGAGGATTCCTAATTGTATCTACACCTAACACAGATCTACGACCAACAGTTCTCAAAAGAACATACAACCGAGACTTCGTTCCACATCGCCCTTTTTATTGGTAAAGGGACAGCAGAGGTCTGAGGCCGGGAGAAGGGAGGTACGCAGCCTGAGGAGAAGTGGAAGCTTCTACTGGTCTTTCAGTTCCTTCAGTCTTCTGATGGCAGACTTGACTGTCACTGCAGAAGTGGTGCTGGAAGAAGAAACAAACAGTGTCACGGCACTGAAGCAAACGGCAAGCCTTAACCACATTACCCCATGCAAAATATCTGTCAGCTGAAGAGAAGCGATCGTAACTGGACTTTCTCTTCAGTGATGGGATCGTTTCCCTTTGGTGCATCACAATCCTTGGACCACAGATCGTTGTATAAGCAGACACAGGCAACCTTCTTTGCTTCTCCTAGGGCACGAGGTCTGTTTGACACCCCTGCTTTATAGGTATGTATCACCATTTATATGTGGAACACTAAATACGTACGTGTCAATAGGCACGCTCCCTTAATTAACGTACAAATGGTGATCACGCTCAGAAAGGCTGGCGGGACAAGGCAAAATGTGTATCTACCAAGCATATCCGTACAAGGATGTTTTCAGTATTTAAGCCTTTATATATTCCTGCAGATAATGGAGGAACGAATGAAGATGACAAGAACAGTCTTAAATTGAGAAGGGAAATTAAGGCTGGATATCAGGAAGAACTGTCCTGCTACGAGAGTGGTTAAACATGAGAACAGGCCGCTCAGATTGTGGGATCTCCAACCCTGGATGTTTTTAAAAGCAAGTTAGACAGACACTTGACTGGGAGGGCTTAGGGATAATCCTGTCTGCAGCAAAAAGTTGGACCAGATGACATCAGAGGACTACTCTTCAGTCCTGCTTTTCTGTGATTATTGTCACTGGCCCATACCACCTAAGATTTCTTTAAATCACTAGTAAGAAACAGGACCGCTTCCAATATCAAGAGCTGATCTTACACACTTCACTGCGTGCTGGCTTTTCAAATTAAATCCAGAGAAAAGGGCAGGCGAAGTGTGCAAGTAACTGTACCTCTGCTCAACTCTCTCTTCAACATCTGAACCACACACTTCCACATTTTCAGATGTATGGTTTTCTTCTTTTTTGTTTAAAAGTTTAACTGATACTAACATTTCCAAGGGTCCTTTTCTTTTAAAGTAATTATGGCAAAAATAGCTTTGGTTCGTTAAGATCAAAAGGAGAATGTGAAGAACACCAAGGGGAACTTACAGATGTGAATGGGGAACCTACTCAAAAGCCTCTGACCTGGTGTCCCATGGTGTCCTCATGGAAAAATTGAACACCTGCGGCCTTGACTACCCCACAGTCCAATGGCTGGGGAACTGGCTCCAAGGTCAGACCCAGAGAGTGGTAAGTTGATGAACTGAATCAACATGGCACTCGATGACCAGTGGTGTCCCCAAGACTCTTTAATGTCTTCATAAATGATCTGGACACTGGAGTCAAAAGCAGGGTGGCCAAGTTCGCTGACAACACCAAACTTTGGGGAAGAGTGTCCACACTTGAGGACAGGATGGTGATCCAGGCAGACCTTGCTTCACTTACAAGATGGACAGATAAAAACCTGATGGCATTCAATACGGATAAATGCAAAGTGCTCCACCTTGGGGGAAAAAAAACCCTGCACCACACTTATAGTGCTACACTCACTTGCACCACAGCTGAAAGGGACTGGGGATCACGACTGATCACAAGATGAACATGAGCCACCAATGCGATGCTGCAGCTGGCAAAGCCAACAAAACTCTGGCGTGCATTAACCAATGCATCACAAGCAAGACCCAGGATGTCATCCTTCTACTATACTCAGCCTTGGCGATGCCACAGCTGAAGCACTGCATCCAGTTCTGGGCTCCACAATTTAGGAAGGACGTGGAGAAGCTTGAAAGAGTGCAGAGGAAAGCCACACGTATGATCAGAGGGCAGGAGAACAGGCCTTACGAGGAGAGGCTGAGAACCATAGGACTCTTCCGCCTGGAGAAGCGCAGGCTCAGGGAGTGTGCATCAGGATCTGGGGGACTGCCTGTTCACCAGAGTGCCCCAGGGGGCAACAAGGTCCAACGGTCACAAACTCCTGCAAGACCATTTCAGGCTGGACATAAGGAAGAACTTCTTTACTGTCCGAGCCCCCAAGGTCTGGAACAAACTCCCCCCAGAGGTGGTGCACGCACCTACTCTGGACTCTTTTAAGGAACATTTGGATGCTTATCTTCCTGGGTTCCTTTGACCCCAGCTGATGTCCTGCCCCTTGGGCAGAAGGCTGGACCTGATGATTTTGCAAGGTCCTTTCCAGCCCTAATGTCTATGAAATGATGAAACCCAATGACAGATGAAACTCAGTACTCCAAGAATCGGGCTACTGCACATTAGACAGAGTTGCCTGGACACTGACTCTGGGCTGTAAGAAACCATGGAGGGAAAGGTCCCACCTGCCACAGTGACTAGTGGACATGAAAATATCAAAAAACAGTCCTAAAGCTTCCTGCTTCAGCAAGAAGAAAGGACCAAGCTCCTGGTAGCCACTACGGTTTCTTACTTGTAGGTCCAGGCACCACCTGCCACTGTCTTCATGCAGGATCCACAATTCCAGATGCCCACAGCTTTCCTCTTCATTTTGGTCTGCAACACAAAATATTTATGAGGTGAGCATTAGCAGGAAAAAAAGCCTCTTTTCAACCGTGTACTGTTATCACTGTAGTGTTTCATTTTGGCCTTTTTCCCCCCGGCTCTCTTCCCCCTCTCTTCAATGTTTTACCTTTTTGGTTTTTCTAATTTTCACCTACTTATATTTTCATTGACATCCTGTCGCACTTTCTGCGTCCCTCATTCTTGTTTTCCTGATCTCCTACTATTCATTCTTCACCAACGGCTTCTTTCTACCTTGTATTCTATCACTGCTGTCTCCTTTTCCCTCTCCCTTCCCTGTTTTACCTCCTGTCTTTCTAATTTCTACCTATTTACATTTTCACTGACATCCTGCTACTTTAAGCTTCTCTCATTCCTTGGAGTCTCAGACCAACAGAGACTCCCTGTGCCTGAAGAAGGGCGACTGCACCTGAAAGCTTGCTAAGAACTTTTTTCCAACTACTCGGTTTAATAAAGAGATCACATTGACCCAAAAAGCCTTGCCTGCCTATGTCCTTAGACCAACACAGCTACAACCAAAAACCCGCCAAGAACAGGAATCAATCCTCAACGACAGCTGTGCTTGTAGCCAGGAAAAGAAGAAGAGCCAAAAATGCAGCTGCGTCTCCCTTAAAACAAGTCAAATGGCCTCTACAAGAATGGCTACTCCCAGAAGCATCTAAAACTGAAGCCTTTTAACTCATACAAAAAGAAAGTCAGGAAGTAGTTCAAGCTGCCAGCTGGTTGCCTTGGACCTCATTCACCTCCGCATTACATTTAGTCCCCACTTTGGGCAGCCACTTATTACACATTCTGCTCACGCAGTTCAGTTACAACCATTTTACAGAGGGTCATGTAGATGTGGAGTTAGAAGAGCGCCGCGGTCTCACCAGTTCTCAGCGGACACATACCTACACCAGGAAGGCGCCTTCAACTGCAACTTGTATCACCGAGACTGAACGATGGGCACATGCGAGAACTGGAGGGTGAAAGCTCTCCCTGCAGCAACGGACTGAAGCACACGGACAGGGCAGCCAAGGGTAGACCTAGGCTGCGGCTCTGCGCATCCAGATACTCCGCGCCTGGAGGACTACCAAATCGGCACACGTCCCTAAGCACTGTTTTATACGCAAGCTACTGGAAGCCTGTCACGTCTTAACTTGTGTTAACTGGACATCAACATGGCCGCTTAAAACTGCCGACTTTTAGCAGCCTGCAGTTCTAGTTTGTTGTATGTCTTTTTGTCTCAGACCAACACGGCGACCGAGTACACCCCTTGAGACCTTTAGCAGCCGAATCTGTTGGGGCCAACGTCAGTCACTCGAGCTGCCATGGAGTTAACTGGTAGCCAGCTCCCCCCACCCAGGTGTGTACAATGCAACCAACCAGCACACAGCCAGGAGGGAAAAAGCCAGGGCTATGTTGCAAGGGCAAAATGGAGAAGATGGGGAGAACCATCAAAACGCCTTGTTTCCCCCCCGCAATAAAATATCACTATTTCATGCAGTGAAAGATATGCAGAGAGCGTTTTCCAAAAGGAAGAAGAGGCAAAAGGAAGGGGAAGGGCAAAGCGCCGTGTGCAAAGCGTGCAGGATGAAGACCTACGTTTCAAGCACTTCAAGGCTTGCAGACCCCCCAGGACGACCCCGCGGGCTCTCACCTTGCCGCAGAAGGAGCACGTGTACTTGGCATGCTGGCTAATTTCGATCTTCTTGACCATCTTCCGGAGGGAAGCGCCGTAGCGGGTCCCGTATTTACCCACAATCCCGACCTTCTTGGTGCGCTTCGCCTGCCGGGGGGAAGCCACGAGAACGCACGAGCCCAATTAAAACCCTTAGACCCCCGGCCCAGAGAGCGGCACCACAGTTGGACGTGGGACC